GACTTTCCTTGTCATCCTGGGCCACCGGTACTCTACGTCCACCAGGCAAACACGATGACACCACAGCAACAATGCACCAACGAATTGACGCAAGAAATACAACAAAGAACACTGAAACGAAAAGCGCATTGGAAACCCTTATATCACACATTGCCTAGCATCGTTCCATATGGCAGTCGCAAACGAAGGGCTTATATCCGCACCTTCGTGACTTACTGTCCACGTCACACACGCTTGCAATTGGTGCTATACGGGATTCCGTCCCTACCACCGACCGAGCGCACCCAGCCATCGGCTTCATTTGTTTTTTTTTTCTATCTAAACTCTCAGCCTGCGTACGGCGGCTGCCTAGACTCCTCCCCAAAAGTGGTACAGGGCCCTAAACAACACCACCTACTCCTTGGCATTCAAAATTCAAACATAAACGTTGGGCGCCATATTGTTACGACTACGCTATTCCTTTGGGCAACGCCAGCTGGCTCATCGGAACTTCTCCTTGGGTGAGTCGCACAATAACCGATAACAGGGTTCCTCCATTGACTACAAACAATCTACACAACAACCATCACTACAATAAATTCGACGCGCAATATACAAAACCGAATTCAAACGTAAACAAACCAAAAATAACTAACATAAAATAAAAGAAACGTAATGCAACAACAAAACAAGTAAAAAGGCTAATGTGGGGTGTCCCGACTTTGAAATACTCTGTACATATGTTTAGAATAATTATAGAAATTAAAAAAGAGAATTAACAAAAAAAAATTTGATCGATTTTACCTCTTTTGGTATTCGAACTCACGTAAAGGGTGTATAATTTCACATATACAAAGCAATTGCGTCTATGTGAGTGTATGAATGTTTATGCGCGTCTATTTGTGTCTGTGTAAGTATTTTCGCAGTCAAACAAACAGCAACATCAACAACAGCCGCGGGCAGCGCTGCAGCAGCAAATATATATATCATAGTGAAACTTGGCATACGGACACATAATAACTAACTAAAGGCATTTCAAAATTCCAAGAATTACGGGAGTTACGATTTGCGGGGGAGACGGGGGAGGGAGGGAAATTCCAAAATACACATTTTCTGCGTATTCTCATAAGGCATCTGGGACTAAAATTTGGTGTCTGTATCTCTTATAGTCTCTGAGATCCAGGTGTTCATACGGACGGACAGAAGAACAGACAGACAGGGCTAGATCGACTCGTCTCGTCATGCTGATCAAGAATATATATACTTTGTGGGGTCTGTCACGCCTCCTTCTGCCTGTTAAATTTTTCAGCTCCCGCAAACCTAATATACTTGTACTTCTGTACATTTCATGTGCAGAGTATAAAAACAAATAAACGGATAACTCCCTCCAGCTACCACGTATCCGGACAACGTGATAGGAATTACATACAGGCTGGCGGACAGGAATTGTGGTATCGTATAACTGTATGGGATGCAGTTGGAAATATCCCTGGCGTACCCACGCTACCTGTATCCAAAGGTAACATTTGTTATGGATACCCTAACATTGGGCCGTGCTGGAACTATTCCATAGCGAAGGTGAGTCTCCCGCCCCTATTTATGCTGCTTTACTGCGACCATAAAAATTAATTATTCAATTCGTGTTACATAATGTGTTTGGGTGCAACATTAATAAATAGGCGTTTATACATGAGTTTAACAGGTTTGAAACAAAATATAAATTAATACAAAAAAATGAAAATAAATCAACGCAAAAACAACCAAAAGGCTTGCCAACGGCCAATGCGGTTAGTTTTGTGCGTAAATAAATAAAGAATAAAAATGTAAATATATGTACGTATATATATGTATATAATAAATGTAAATATGGGCGAGTAGTCGGGGAATAAATAAGATATAATATTTTTATTATTTTTATTTTTATTAGCTTAAGGCCACAGAGCTATAGCTTGTTCTTACTGTTCGTATGTCGTTTTCACATCGCATAGGTACATTTAATAAATAAATAAATAAAATTTTTATTAAATAGAGCGCCAAGCTCTGTTTACGTGCCGCTTTCTGCCTCGTTTTCGGTTTAATTATATATTTATATATTTTTATTGTATTATTTTCTTTTTTTTTCTTTTGCAGAAACTTAAATGGGGCGGCGCGTGCTGTTGCTCCTGCTACGATGCAGCTATTGATGGCGCTTCTGTTGCGATGCGGGTGGCGGTGTCGCAGCCATTGTTGCTGATGGTGTTACCGATGCGGCCGTTGACGGTGCTGGCGCGGTTGTGGCAGCTGGCTGTGGTGGCGTTGTGCCGCTATCGCTACTACCGATGGTGGAGCCGCTGTTTGCGCTGTCACTGGCGATGCTTTGCTGTTGCCGCTTATGCCTTCTTTTTTCCTTTTCTTTAAGTATCCGTTTGTTGCGGCCGTGCCTGCCATCGGACCGCAACTCTGCGCCTGTGCAAACGCAGTTGGCACCCCGGCCCCCCGCTCGGTACCGCTAGATGGCGCTGCAGTGCCAGCTTCAAATTTCGGCGCCTCCCGTAGCGCTGCCACTTTTCCTTTTTTGTGACCAGCCCGATGCAACAATTGTACAAACAAAATGTTCGCGAGGTGTGGCTGCAGAGCGCCGAGTGTAAAGAGTGGCTCCAAAAAAATATTACGGATTGCACAAGGGCTTACTGCAGCTACTGCAAGTGTGGATTAACTGCAAAGCTTTGCGACCTGCGTGTCCACGCGGCTTTGCACAAAAAGAAAAAATTGGTTTTGGGCAAACGCCAACAAAAACGATTGAGCAAGAGGTAGCACTTTGCCTCTTTCTAACAAAGCACACTGCAATTGCTCCCATCGACCATCTAGGCACCCTTTGCAAAACAAAATTTTGCGACAGCGATACCGCGTCAAGAATTATGCTGCATCGCACTAAATGTACATACATTATTAAAAATGTATTGGCTCCTCATTTTCGTGAGGACCTCAGAAACGACGTTGGAAACGCTAAATTTAGTTTGATTTACCAGGTAAACTTGGTAAAATCAATACTAAGGAATGGAATGAATTTAAATACGCTTAACTCCATTTTAAGCGTAAGGTACGGTTTTTTATAAACAAAATAAAATATTGTCATAAATATATTAGATTATTTTCAATTAAAGATACGGACTAAATCGTAAAAACAAATGCTGTTTTGAGTATTCATTGCCTAAAAAATTTTTGCGAGCAATAGGCAACCGAATTTATTACCCTGACAAAGAGGCAGTGAGCTTAGATGAACTGATCGAGTTATAGATAGAATTATAGAATTGAACATTTTCAATTTTTATTTATTGTGAATCTTCTATAATTTTTTTACTTTACAAGAATCTCATGTTTTATTATAAGCTATAAAATAAGAATATGTATAGAATTAATATGAAAATATTAAAACAGATATTTCCTTAAATTTAATCAAGAAAAAATTGTTTTTAAAACCAGCTTTTTTTTAGCTTAATTTGCCTTGGATTTAGCTTTTTTTACAAGTAGCTTTAATTTTTTGACAATCTAGCTACTTTTGCTCAGAAAATTATGGCAGCACTGTTGCAGACCGCTCTGGGAAAGGAAACAAACTACTGTTTTAATTTCCAAATTCATTCTGGTTTATTTTATGAAATTACTTCACAATTATGCAATTTTTGACTTACAAGCGGTGTTCCAAAGTAAACAGGACTTTAAAAAAAAAACAGAACAAATGGTTTCTTCGGCAAAATCAATTTATTTTTATCAAAATAGTCTCCTTCTGCTTCATAGAGAAAATCGATTTGCGATTTGCGGGGGAGACGGGGGAGGGAGGGAAATTCCAAAATATACATTTTCTGCGTATTCTCATAAGGCATCTGGGACTAAAATTTGGTGTCTGTATCTCTTATAGTCTCTGAGATCCAGGTGTTCATACGGACAGACAGAAGAACAGACAGACAGGAAGAATATATATACTTTGTGGGGTCTGTCACGCCTCCTTCTGCCTGTTAAATTTTTCAGCTCCCGCAAACCTAATATACTTGTACTTCTGTACATTTCATGTGCAGAGTATAAAAACAAATAAACGGATAACTCCCTCCAGCTACCACGTATCCGGACAACGTGATAGGAATTACATACAGGCTGGCGGACAGGAATGGTGGTATCGTATAACTGTATGGGATGCAGTTGGAAATATCCCTGGCGTACCCACGCTACCTGTATCCAAAGGTAACATTGTTATGGATACCCTAACATTGGGCCGTGCTGGAACTATTCCATAGCGAAGGTGAGTCTCCCGCCCCTATTTATGCTGCTTTACTGCGACCATAAAAATTAATTATTCAATTCGTGTTACATAATGTGTTTGGGTGCAACATTAATAAATAGGCGTTTATACATGAGTTTAACAGGTTTGAAACAAAATATAAATTAATACAAAAAAATGAAAATAAATCAACGCAAAAACAACCAAAAGGCTTGCCAACGGCCAATGCGGTTAGTTTTGTGCGTAAATAAATAAAGAATAAAAATGTAAATATATGTACGTATATATATGTATATAATAAATGTAAATATGGGCGAGTAGTCGGGGAATAAATAAGATAAAGTACCCCAAAAACCTTAAGGAGAGCTGTACTGCGTATATGTATGTATTTATTTAAGTTCAAAAAAAAACGAAACGCGCTACTGCAATTGGCAAACTCTGTACAACTTTCTAGACTGAAACATCTAAGCTTTCTTTATAAATGTAAGTATAATATTTTTATTATTTTTATTTTTATTAGCTTAAGGGCACAGAGCTATAGCTTGTTCTTACTGTTCGTATGTCGTTTTCACATCGCATAGGTACATTTAATAAATAAATAAATAAAATTTTTATTAAATAGAGCGCCAAGCTCTGTTTACGTGCCGCTTTCTGCCTCGTTTTCGGTTTAATTATATATTTATATATTTTTATTGTATTATTTTCTTTTTTTTTCTTTTGCAGAAACTTAAATGGGGCGGCGCGTGCTGTTGCTCCTGCTACGATGCAGCTATTGATGGCGCTTCTGTTGCGATGCGGGTGGCGGTGTCGCAGCCATTGTTGCTGATGGTGTTACCGATGCGGCCGTTGACGGTGCTGGCGCGGTTGTGGCAGCTGGCGGTGGTGGCGTTGTGCCGCATATGGCGGTGCCGCTATCGCTACTACCGATGGTGGAGCCGCTGTTTGCGCTGTCACTGGCGATGCTTTGCTGTTGCCGCTTATGCCTTCTTTTTTCCTTTTCTTTATGTATCCGTTTGTTGCGGCCGTGCCTGCCATTGGACCGCAACTCTGCGCCTGTGCAAACGCAGTTGGCACCCCGGCCCCCCGCTCGGTACCGCTAGATGGCGCTGCAGTGCCAGCTTCAAATTTCGGCGCCTCCCGTAGCGCTGCCACTTTTCCTTTTTTGTGACCAGCCCGATGCAACAATTGTACAAACAAAATGTTCGCGAGGTGTGGCTGCAGAGCGCCGAGTGTAAAGAGTGGCTCCAAAAAAATATTACGGATTGCACAAGGGCTTACTGCAGCTACTGCAAGTGTGGATTAACTGCAAAGCTTTGCGACCTGCGTGTCCACGCGGCTTTGCACAAAAAGAAAAAATTGGTTTTGGGCAAACGCCAACAAAAACGATTGAGCAAGAGGTAGCACTTTGCCTCTTTGTAACAAAGCACACTGCAATTGCTCCCATCGACCATCTAGGCACCCTTTGCAAAACAAAATTTTGCGACAGCGATACCGCGTCAAGAATTATGCTGCATCGCACTAAATGTACATACATTAATAAAAATGTATTGGCTCCTCATTTTCGTGAGGACCTCAGAAACGACGTTGGAAACGCTAAATTTAGTTTGATTTACCAGGTAAACTTGGTAAAATCAATACTAAGGAATGGAATGAATTTAAATACGCTTAACTCCATTTTAAGCGTAAGGTACGGTTTTTTATAAACAAAATAGAATATTGTCATAAATATATTAGATTATTTTCAATTAAAGATTCGGACTAAATCGTAAAAACAAATGCTGTTTTGAGTATTCATTGCCTAAAAAATTTTTGCGAGCAATAGGCAACCGAATTTATTACCCTGACAAAGAGGCAGTGAGCTTAGATGAACTGATCGAGTTATAGAAGAGAATTATAGATAGAATTATAGAATTGAACATTTTCAATTTTAATTTATTGTGAATCTTCTATAATTTTTTTACTTTACAAGAATCTCATGTTTTATTATAAGCTATAAAATAAGAATATGTATAGAATTAATATGAAAACATTAAAACAGATATTTCCTTAAATTTAATCAAGAAAAAATTGTTTTTAAAACCAGCTTTTTTTTAGCTTAATTTGCCTTGGATTTAGCTTTTTTTACAAGTAGCTTTAATTTTTTGACAATCTAGCTACTTTTGCTCAGAAAATTATGGCAGCACTGTTGCAGACCGCTCTGGGAAAGGAAATAAACTACTGTTTTAATTTCCAAATTCATTCTGGTTTATTTTATGAAATTACTTCACAATTATGCAATTTTTGACTTACAAGGGGTGTTCCAAAGTAAACAGGACTTTAAAAAAAAACTGAACAAATGGTTTCTTCGGCAAAATCAATTTATTTTTATCAAAATAGTCTCCTTCTGCTTCAATACAGCTTTTTGCACGATCCAAAAGCATGTCGAACGAGTGTTTTAGCGCGTTGGCCGGTATGGCCGCCAGTATGCCGGTGCAAGCATTTTGAATGGCCTCTACGCCTGTATAACGCTTTCCTTTCATGCGCAAATGCATTTTTCCAAAAAGGTAGAAGTCGCACGGTGCCATATCAGGTGAATATGGCGAGTGGTTAATGGTTAAAATGTGATTTTTGGTCAAATAATCGGTCCTTCGAATGTTGGGTTCTGAGCAATTTTTGGTCGTCAGTCAATTTGTGCGGAACAAACCGTGCACACACCTTTCGTAAGCCCAAATGTTCGGTCAAAATGCGATAAATCGATGTTGTGGAGATGTTCAATTCCATTTCCATCAATTTTAATGATGATTTCGGCTGATTTTTGATGAATTCACGCACAGTTTCGATGGAATTTTCGGTGATCACGAATTTTGATTGGCCCACATGTTGATCGTCATTTATGTCCTCAAGACCACTTTGAAAACGTTGAAACCACTCGTGCACTCTGCTACGGGATAGACAATCATCACCATAAACTTGTTCCATCAATTGAAACGTTTCGGAAAAAGTTTTAGCAATTTTAAAACAAAATTTAATATTGGCTCTTTGTTTGAAGCTCATTTTCGCACCGATAACACAAACATACTGATACTTAAAATGCAATAACTTCACTTCCATCGATGAAACGTCATGAAATTCTCTCTGGACCATCGATAAAGATAGCAGATTCTAACCCACCAGTCGACATATAGATAGCGCCACCAGGGGGCGCTAGATTCAAAATCCTGTTTACTTTGGAACGCACCTGGTATGTAATAGTTTTTTCTTATGTACTAATAATTTAATATTTGGTTCTATCTTATTCTCTAATCATTGTACTTACTCTAATTTTAAATTTTTTGTCTTATTCTATCCTAACGGTGTCAAGTGGATTTCCCCTCCATATGTATATTCGAACCATTTCTTAAATGCAGTGTGCACCCACCCTTAAACGCTGTCGTGGTCTTATTTGCCTATGCATTTCTTGTTACCTACCATGCGTTGGTCTGTAATTAATGCCAAAATGGACACCCAGTTTTTTTCTGTACCCCCTAACCAAAGGGTGACCTAGTTTAGTGCGAATGCGATATGGACAGGTAGGTAGGTATAAGGTATTTAAGACTATTAAATTTAACGTTAAGCCCGCTTGACATTACCACTTTCTCCCTTGTTTTAAATTAAATATTTCAAGTTTGTTAATTTTTTCAGAAGCATCCCCACTACACTCAAATTTGGTAATTACACCCAGTTAGTAATTATGTGTCCGTATACTAAGTTTCATTATGATAGGTCAATTATAAAGAAAGTTATAGTCATAAATTTAACCTCTGCTCAAGCCCGCGGCTGTTGTTGTTGCTGCAAAACACGATTCTGATGTAAATGTATGATTATGAAACTGTACATAAACATATGCCTCCATTTATGTATGTATGTATGTAGCATTGTTTAAATGTTTTTTATTTTATTTAATTAATTTAAATTTTTTAAATTAGTTTTTTCTTTTTTGTGGGAGTTTCAGGATATTTAAGAGTTGAGCCCACTCGACTTTAGCATTCCTAAGTATCTTGTTTTTTTTATTAACTATTTCCAGTCCTTCCACACCTTTAAATAAATATGCGTTAATTACAGAAGTATGAATTGCTGTAAGTGGATAATGTACTTACTCGTCGCCATTCTTCGATAGTCTTACATGGACGGCCATTTGATTTTAAATTTGCCACCCTATTCCCGGGCGTATATCCTTGCGCAATATCGGGGTGTGCTTCGATAAACTGCACGAAGATTGAGTCTTGTTCAGACGATCTATGTTCCCCCTGCAAAAACAAGTAAAAAAGCTGAAGTCGGGTGTCCCGACTTTGAAAAACTCTGCACATATCTTTAGAATAATTATAGAAATTAAACAAATTAAAATAAAAATTTTGACCGATTTTACCTCTCTCGGTATTCGAACTCACGTAAAGGGTGTATAATTGCACCTTTACAAAGAAATTCCGTCTGTGTGAGTGCATGAATGTCTAAGCTCATCTAATCGTGTCTGTGTGAACATGTTTGCAGTCAACCAAAGCACCAGCATCATCAACATCTGCGGGCAGCGCTTGGGCAGCAAATATATTTATGGTTATAACTTCTTGTTAAATCGGTCTATCATAATTAAATTTGGCATACGGGCACATAATCACTAACTGGGGGTACTTGCCAAATTTCAGTTCGAAATTCCAAGAATTACGGGAGATTGAGGGGAATTCCAAAAAACACATTTTCTGTGTATAAGGCATCTTTGGCATAAGGCATCTTAGACTTAATATGGTGGAAAGACCATAGGGGAGAAGTGGGAGTAAAATCGAAAAAATAAAACAAACTCGTATAGCGTACACACATAAGGCATCTTTCTGAGTCCCTGAGATCCAGGTGTTCATACGGACGGACAGACAGACATAGATCGACTCGTCTAGTCATGGTGATCAAGAATGTATATACTTTGTGGGGTCTGCCACGCCTCCTTCTGACTGTCACATTTTTCAGCTCCCGCAAACTTAATATACTCTTGCACATTTCATATACAGAGTATAAAAATAGCATTTTCAATTGAAAACAGAAATTACAAAAATGTACTTACGTTTTGTTTCGCTGCTCCGTATTGTATATTTTAAATGACTGTTTTATTACCATTCACATTTTTGTTAACAAACAAACCTGCCCACTCGACGACACAATTTCCTTTCAATTGGTATTTATTTGAAACAAGAATTGCGTCAAATATATATTTTATCTTTGTCTTAACAAATTGTGATGTTCGAAAATGTTTTTTGTATTTGGGCCATGTTGGCATCTTTATTGTTCGGTTGTTTTGAAAGCTGTGTGTGAATGCTAGTGTTTTAACCATAGTTTTAGTAATTTGCTAATATAGTAATATTAACATAGGATATGCAAAATATTTTTGATGCAGATTGTTCAGAAAAACTATAAGGCTTATTATTATTATTTTTATTTGAAAAATTGCTTTAAGTGTTTTTAATAAAATCTCCAGGCAAAACATATGAGAAAAACTTAAATTTAAAACTCCCAACTTCCGTGGCACCAAGATTAGGTTTTCATGCGAAATTTGGTAGAGAGATTTCTGTTGCACCCCTGATAGTAAATAATTGCAAGCAAGGTTGTTTATAAATTTGTATGGTTTTTATTAATACAGTACATAGGTATAATATATATTTAAGATTATGCGCAAATAAAAATAATACATAAACAAAATTTATATATTCTATCTGCGAATAGTGCTATTTAAAGGTAAGTAAGGGGAATATGTCGGATACATTGGGTTTGGCTGAGTAGCTCTTTGTAACACGCATGCGTCTTGATATTGGGACTGCATATTCATTACACCCATTTGCATTGGAATTTGTGAATTTGGATATTCTCCTCCAGAGCTGTAGGTTCCTGTGGATGGAGATTGTTGAGGGGACATTCTGTAACTGTTTATTGGCCCATAAGGCGTCATCAGATTTGGGCTTATGTGTACGTTTGTGGTTCTATTGCTTGAAGTGGTACTCATAGACCCTGCAGCATGTTGCACAGGAGCTGATGGAGTGTTACGCGTGGGTCTT